TGAGTGGTGGTGTTGAGTCAGCACATAAACGAACAACTTTATTTAATTTATTGAGAGATTAATTATTCATATGCTACACTTGAGATCCACACCGCTTCGCATGCCTCACCGCTCTCCCCTTCGTCGCTTGTTTTCTCGCCTCGCCAGTTTCCACCACGACCGTTTCCAACTCTCCTTGTTGATCGTTCCTCAAATGTCCGGTCTTCGTTTGTCCACGCACGCACAGAGAGAGAGAGAGAGAGAGAGAGAATGCGGCCCTCTCTCTCTCCTTCACCCTCGCTCTGACATTCACTCCCACAAATCTGTTGTCGCTTCCCGTGGACCGCAATTCTTTCGGTAAGAATTTCGCGGCAACGGTACGGGTTTGCTGCCCAATTGAGAAATTGATCTCTTTCGGTGGTTCTAATTAAGATCCGATAATTTAGAGAATTTTATTTTGTCACGACTGAATTTACAAATGTTGATTGGAGATACTGTGTTAGCGAGTAATTCGAATTTTGTGTTGTAATGTGTTTGGCTGGGTTGGGTGTCACTGCGAGAGCGAGACTTCAAGCGCTGGTTAGAGAATGACCCGTGGAGTCGTCGCCCTGACGGAAAAGAGCATCGGTTATGGAGAGGAGAGGTTCGCGAGGTTTTTGTTTCGTCGATGTGTTCGCTCGAGGAGGTTTATTGCGGGCCGATGTGAGTTTGGTACCCCGGTCTGGCGGTCGAATTTGACTAATGAATTTTATGATGATAATCCGTCAGGCCGGGGTTTCCTCATGTGCATGGCAACGCAACATCTGTATTGTTAAATGTTCTTCATGTATTAGGTGTAAAAATGAATTCTTTTGTATTGGATTCACATAATTGATTCAAAGCTACCGAGTTTTTGTCACGATGGTATTCGCAAATTTGCAGAAAAACGGCAAAAGGTCGCCCATAATAATGGAAATTATTTCGATGATTGATCTGTTTTCATTCTTTTTAAATAAAACTTTGGTTGTACCCAAAAGTTAGAAAGAATTTATTTCTAATAGTAGTTTATAAAATGTTCTTTGCGGTAACGACAAATGAGAAAATATGGTAAGTGATTATAATTTGACACAACTCGCAACGCTAAGACAACTGTTATGCAACAATAACAACTATAAAACGACTATTACAACTCTAAGGCAACTCTTAAATGACTCATACAACACTCTCCGCAACACTACATATTTCCAATATTCTGACGACCCTTATAACATTCCGACTTCAACTCCAAGGCAATGGCGGTTCGTCTATAAGGGCTGCAAGGCTGCAGCCCCTCCAGTATAAAATGAAAGTTCCTGTTGATTTTTACTATATACAGGGTGATCAGCTCATGTAAACGGTTAAGAAATGACTGCTACGTTCTTTCTATGACGTCTGCATTGATGGTTAAGCATGAATCTACAATTCTCTCTCACATATCTTCCGGTACTGTTGGAGGCTCTTTTTCCTTCAATGCACCCCATAAAAAGAAATGCTTAACCACCAACGCAGACGTTATAGAAAGAACTAAGCAGTCATTTCTTAACTGTTCACGCGAGTATATTGCTGCTAGTGGACACCATCTTGGGCATCGATTCAATTAAGGTAAATGATATTATTTTAATGTTTCTTTGGTTTAGATGCAGAAGAAATCCTTTTTATGGTGCTTGCCGAATTCGTCTCCGTATCTCCTAAAAAATGGGTGTAAAAAAATTGTAAGTTTACCTATAAAAAACTGAAAGTAACCTTGATAACTTTGGAAAAAAAGGGTTGACAAAAAATTTGATATAATCATCTTAAAGCTCTCCTTGAACCATGTTATAGATAAGCTGATCACGCTTCGTGGCCCATCCTGTATTTAAAAATCATCGAAATCGGCGATGCCGCCTTTAATTTTATTAATGATATAATTATTCAATCCATATCGATCTTTTTTACTTTTATTGCAACAACCCACCACTACAAATTCTTACGAACCGCCACTGCTCCAAGAAAAAACTCCTTTTTCGCCTTCTTTCTCTCCAACTATACATGCACGCTATTTCGGTGTTCTTCCATTAAAAATGGTCAACGCATCGATGAATCTCGTACGTCATCGAGTGTTTCCGCGATGGGCTTGACATACAAAGAGGCAATATTTTTACGATACTACATAACTTGCACGACAAAGTCTGGAGAAATGTTTAAAATAGGTCAGAATTCGTGAATTGATAAAGGCTTTAAACTAATTCCTAGGAACTTTCGTCGGGCGATTGTACACTTCGAGGACCTTCCTTGGGGTTGTCTTAAGATATCAGCAGTTAATGATCCTCTGTGGCGCGTGCATGTAATTAATGCGAGCCCGTGTGAAGCGGAATTGTAAGGGCCGACCGGTTGGAGTGTGTATAAGCCCGACTAAGGAACTCGCTGAATAGAAGTTTCGTCGAACTTCATAGCGGAAATATAACTGAGGAGGGCTTCGAGGATTAATTACTTCCGCTGAACTTGTTCTTTCTTCTTGATGATCGCAACTTCTTACAATTGTATTCCGTCTTGTGACAAGCGTCATACCGGCTCACGAGTGCGAAATAAAGTAGATTTATAGGTGGTTACTGTTAGGTTTTCTGTAGAAACGGCTTTATTGCACGATCGACCGGGAACGGTTATTTTTGAGTTCAGGATTTTCGTTTATTGCTTGCACGGGTTTAATTACATCCTGCGAGGGTCACTAGAATTGCTTTGCTAGATTTTTAGTAATTTGTGTCCCTCGCGCTCAATAGCCTACGAACGTACCATAAACCACGAATTTCCGAACGGCACATCTCTATGTAACGGTCCGCATGCCAATTAGTCACCCGGAGGAAATTCCAGATTTTTGGGACCTTCCGCCCACCCCTCGCAACCGTCTCCCACCCTTCCAAGGTGATAGCGCGCTAAGGGCGCACTGGAAGGGCGGTAAAGACGATATTAGACACGCTGATTGACAAATGCAATCGTTAACCATTAATCAATCAGCGTGTCCCAACAAAAATCCCTCTCACGGACGTCCGAGACGCGACGTCGGAGAGTGAGTCGTCGAGTAGTCGTTCAACCACCACGAACAAGGAGAACCAAGGAGCAACCAGCTCACATCACGCGATACCATAGATCAGTTTTTCCAAGTCCCAATCATTTAGGTGGTCCTTCGAACCAGAATTTAGACGGCACAATATCGTGCAAACATCCACAAAGTTCGAAAGTTCATCGCCATAACCACGGGCATTAACAGTTATGTCTTTGTTATTCAATATCATTGTGCTGATATAAGCTTGAAAATAGTTGTGCATGAAAGTTTAAGGAAATAAAAATTTCTACACAGCTTTGTTTCAAATCTGTCTTCAGAACTTTTTGTGTAAATAGCATTTTAATACTGACTCACATGCTAAAGGCATACTAATTTACATATTAAAAGAAGTACTTTCAGAACGAGTGTTTTTCTTTAGACTGAACATTTTCAGACTATTTCTAGCAATATCTTAGGGCCGAAAAATTAAGTAAACCTTTCTCATTTCGATATTCCTATTCCTGGAAAGTGGCCATTGATAAATGTTGTTTGTAAGTGTAACAGAAAATGCAATGCCCAAAAACAATTTCGAAACGTAAATAAAAATAAAGAAGTAGTATGAAATAACTGATAACTGTTAACGCTATAAAATGTGAGAGTATTTAAAGGTTAAACAATTTAGCATTTCAAACAGAAAATTCAAGATTAAAAGTTTATCGGAGAAAATATCAAGTGTAATTTTATAATAAAATTAGTAATATGTACAATATGTAACAATCTACGTACATGGACAATCACGTAGCTTAAAATTTTATTTAGATTCTTTTATTTGGCAATAATTTTTATACTATTAATTTCATACCAATATTATTTTTTTAAAAAGAAAGTGAAATCTGACAAATTATTTAAAAATAAATCCTTTTTATTTATTTATTTAAATATACGAAAGTTAGTTAGTAAAAATATATATTTCACGCGAATCGACAAATACCCATTAATAATTTGTGTAAATAAAGCTAACAAAACGATTATAATAGTAAACAAACCTTTCATTTTACATAACAATCGTTTCGAAATTGTGGTACAATATTTTGTATACATAATTTTTTTTTCAAAAAGAGAAAAAGTTGTTATGCAAATCGATCGATTGTAAATAAATTAATTTTCAACTTTCTTCAACAATCGCGACATTGATTTTTTAGCGGAACGAAGGAAGGGTAAAAAGCGTTAATAGTAAGTGATAATACGTACGACATGTCGTTTAATTTTCTAAATTGCTTTTCTGAAGCATTTGTCCAGAATGAAATATCTTATTCAATTTACGCTTCCGTTCTTGCCAACCCTGATTGCAATTATGGTTTTTGCTACAATATATTAAGCGTTTCTCATGAAGAAGTTTCTTGCTGCAAAGTTTCACGGTAGTTTGCGGAGTAATATGACGATCGGTTACCTTAACCACTAATTAAATGTGCAGAATTGTTTAGTAGCGAAATTAACATACTTGATCCTTCGTTTGATAATAACAGAAAATTTCATGGACCGATATTTAAAAATCGTACAAATTAATAAAATGCAAAGTTTTCAAAAAATAAAATTCTCCGACAAATTCTTAAATAATTTCTTACGAAGCAAGAATATGTTCTTTGTCTTCCAGTAGTATAAAAATTTTACTCCCATCTATTAAAAAAAAGAAGAATGCAGCTAATATTAATTACGAAGGAATTGTTGCCCTAAGCCTTTAAGAAACTTTCAGACTACAATTAAACTATATTGAAATTTTCCTTTCAGCTCCTCTTTGTTCTTTTCTTGTAATATAGTAGACAAATACAAAACTAGAAAGAACTAATTTATCCGGTGTTACTTAATAGCGAATAGTATCCTGCGAATCAAGATTCTTGAGAAAGAAATCTCACGAAAGAAACAAGTAAATAATTTTCTTGTTGTTGTTGTTCTTTTTCTTCTTCTTCTGTTTCTTCCTCTGCTTCTTCTTCTTCTTCTTCTTCTTCTTCTTCTTCTTCTTCTTCTTCTTCTTCTACTTCTTCTTCTTCGGCTGCGAGTACTTTCAATTAACCTTCGTTAAACTTAAAAGTAGTACTACCCAGAGGGTGCAGACAGCAACCAGGTTTATCGATAAAAGTTTAACCAGCAAGGAGGAACGAAAAAGAGGAGGAAAGTAGCGAAGAGGAAAAAGACTGAGTTAATTCTGATGGAATACGCCCAATAATTATATGATAATTACAAGTGCGTGAAACAATGTGTTTCTTTCATTTAGTGAACCGTAATGAGACCTAATACAATGCAAAACGAACATTAGTGAAACATAATTACACAGTTAACATGCTGATGTAGGTAAAAGTTGTATTTTAGTATACGTCATCGTCAAGGATATAATAAGTTTCTTTTTCAACTTCAAATCAGCGTCGTCGTCAACGACAAGAGGCTTTTTTGCGTTTTGAGTTAGTTCAAAAAAGAGAGTCGTAATAGATGAGGCAGCATAGGCAGCATTTAATGTGTTAGTCACGTTTGTATACGCAGTTTCAATGTATAGTACTGAGAGTTTATTATTAATATCTCGGAAACTAATGATTAGCTGTAGCTAATATTTCATATTTGAAGTCCACCCATCCTCCCCCTTGCCACAAAATTTCATGTCGATCGGCAACTGGGACCTTTCTGAATTACACTCAAAAATTTTAACTTAAGGTGTGTTGCAGCTACGGAACATTCGCTTACCATGTTTTTTATTTTACGATGTTGGTCTTATGCGTTTCTCACACGCTAAATTAATTTGACCTCAACACGAGAGTTCACAACTCCGAGGAACCCGAGTACACGGGCCCGGGGGAGGAGGCACTGCTCCTCCCGCCGGGCTCCGGTTTGGTGGCCGCCCGTG